ACATCGACTCCCATGGTGGGGCCCTTCTTCCTTACTCCTCCTCCACTGTGACTGTCACCACCTCCCCACTGGGCCCGTCCCAGCTCAGACTGACCCCACCAGTCCAAACCAGCAGGGGTGTGTTCCATGCGTCACAGTCCCAGTCGAGCCATCACAGCGTCCCTCCAGTGAAATAATGAGAGCGAGGGCCTTGATGCTTTGTATGCCATCATTTGTTCAAGAGCTTTTGGATGTTTTAATGATGTACAGTTAATATAAGAGAATATGGAGACAAAATATTTTGGTGGTGGTGTTTAATTCACCATGCTTGTTCTTCATTATCACACCCTTTAATAATCTTAATACAGCCTTTAATAATATTAGTTAATTTCAGTATTTACTAATACACTTTAAAAATCAAAAGTTGTTTTTGTTCAAATTAATTAATCCACTGTGAACTAAGTAACAACCAATAAAAAACTATATTTTATTGAAAAATATGAATAAATGCTTTAAAAATGGGACCTAATTGTAAAGTTTTACCAGTAATTTATTTTATCAATTTGAAGTTTACACAGTTTATGTGTAATAAATTCTGTTGAATCAAATAAAATATGTTTTTCTATTTTCCTCATTTAACACATGACTTTAAAGGGTTAGTTCACCCAAACAGTACTTACCCTCAAGCCATCCTAGGAGTATATGACATTCTTCTTTCAGACTTATACAATCGGAGAAAAATTGTCCTGGCTCTTCCGAGCTTTATAATGGCAATGAATGGCCGTTTATGTTTGGAAGTCCATCAAAGTGCATCCATTCATGATAAAAGTCCACACGGCTCTGGAGGGTTAATAAAGGCCTCCTGAAGCGAAGCGATGGGTTTGTGTAAGAAAAATATCCATATTTAAAACTTTATCAACTAAAATAACTAGCTTCCGGGAGACGGCCTACACAAGTCGATTTACGCCAAAAGAGTAACACTTGACGATGTATGGCATAGGATGTAGGAGTAGCGTAAGCTTTGACGCCTCTCGTGGTTAAAAAAACAGGGCTGGGCAACACACTCAAGCTTTGCTCTATCCTCTGCGCTTCTGTGTTCGTCAATGAGTCATGCGTCAGGTCAAGGGTTATTCTTTCCGATGCGTACGGCCGTCTGCCGGAAGGATTATTTTAGTCGATAAAGGTTTAAAAAAATTTACCCAAGCGCATTGCTTAGCTTCAGAAGTCCTTTATTAACCCCCCAGAGCACTTTTTATCATGGATGGATGCACTTTGTTGGACTTTACAGCATAAACGGCCATTCACTGCCATTATAAAGGTTGGATTTTTTAAATATAACTCTGATTGTATTCGTCTGAAAGAAGAATGTAATATAAACCTAGGATGACTTGAGAATAAGTAAATCATGGGGTCATTTTCATTTTTGGGTGAACTATCCCTTTAAATGATCTTTTGGGTGTAATTTCTCAGCCAAATTTTATGTGCAATTAATTGGCTACTAATTAGATGATTTAATTGGTACATCATACTTAATTAAAAAATCAGTCTCTTGACAGCCCTAATATACAGTATAAATATATATTGGTCAGGAAATTATCCAAATTTAAGCAAATGCAAGCCATTGCTGTCTCAGAAAAACATCAAAGACAGAATTAAGTTTTTAGCAGTATATGGGAAGTTGTGTGTGGCATGATGAATCACAATGAAACGTTGCATGGTGCATTGTGATGTCTGCAAATCTGTTGAGAAATATAATAATAAACTGCATCTCTCCCACAGTAAAGTATGGAGGAGATGTAATTGAGTGGGGAGCCTTATAGCTGCTGGGATTGGTGAGCCACTTTTCAGTGAAAAGTCATTTAATTTTTGGAGTACAGGAGAATATTGCACAATTGAAAAGTTATCTAAAGATAAATGATCAGATGTTATTTTTCAACAAGACAATGCTCCTGCCCAAACTGCAAAGATAAACAAGAAGTGCCTTGAGAACAAGTCCATCAGGCTCATGTTTTGGTCGGAGTCCATATTTGAACCCTTTTGAATATTTGGTCTCACATTTAACTCAAACTAACTGGGAGATATTTTTTCAACTACTCATGAACTATTTGAAGCCATCAACATTGAGTGGAACAACATTGACTCTCCTTCCTGTAAAGAGCTGTCTTCTAGTTTACCTATAGCTTAAACATTTAAAGAAAACAAAGGGCTAAGTTACTTTATCTACAATATTTGTGCAATTCTTGCTAATTTCCTGACCACTGATTTGTGATTAAAATGGCTGAGACCATTAAAAGATCACTAAATATTTTGCCATTTTTCGTTTGCTCCTTTTTTTCTTCTTTTTTTATTTCTTTATCTCCACTAATTGTATGCATGATATACAAATTCCAATAAAATTTAACTGGTCAAAGCAAATCACTAGTCATAAATTACTGGCATTCTAGCTGCCTGTCACTAATATCGACTAAAATGCAAAATGATGCATGAATGATGTTTATGGTCTGCATGCTCAGTCAAACAATACTTCTGTAGCTGACTTGAACTTCTTAATCTGGAAATAATTATTAGCATATATGATGCTCTTATGTGCATCAAAATTTTGATTCAAATCAATTGTGTGTCTCTCACCTCTCATTCCTTGGGAATTCCCACAGTATATAAGAAGTGGCGGGACACAAAGAGAAGACACAGCAAGGAGGTGCACATTCTCTTCCCACACTGCCTTTACCCTGGAGATGGTCAGATCCCCCTCACTAACCCCAACTCCCCCTCCTTCCCAACTTCCCTCCACTTCCATCTTCCTCATTGTAGGCTGATTTAATTAAAAAATACCCAGCAGCACCACCCTGGACCTCGCCCGCCAGGGTGGGACCTCTAGCTGTGGTGCAGGGAGACTGTCATTTACTGCTTGCACACACACACACACACACACACACACACACACACACACATATACACATCCAAGCCTAAGTAGGCCTATTCACATAGATCCATTCCTGACAAACATGATGCATTGACCTGACATGGACAATGTTATTGCCCACAAACTCTTCTCCGGAAACAATCATTTTCTTTGTTTATCAATTAAACATAATATCATAGTGAGCCTTTTTTCTTCTGATTATGGTGGCTACTGTATCTATACTTTATATTTAAGGTAATTGCCGTCATGTCAACCGTACGTGATAGTTATCCCAACATAAATCAACATAATTAATCTGCACGTTTCTTCCATCGTTTACAAGCCTTGTTTGACAGCTCCTGGATAATGTCTAATGAATGTAGAATGAGACAATGGCAATTAATTTTGTGATGATCTTGCCTTTTGGAATGGGCGGGTATTTTGTTTTAGGGGGTGGGAAGGAGCCAAATCGCAGACATGTTGCCACGGTGATAAGGTACTCCCTGCCGCCGTCGGGTCTCGGACAAGACCCTAGGGAGCCATGGCGACTGGATAGTGACAGACAAAGTGACAAGTCCGCAAGGATGGTAGGTCATCCTTGAGCACAATTCCTCAAACTTCCATAGGGATGTCATACACTTTTGTAAGCCACTGACACAGTAAACTGATGAGAATGAGCATGGATTGAGTCTGGCCATCACTAACTTCCATTCTGCAGAGCTTTGATGTATGCAAGTTTGCAGAAACATTACTGGCACACTCATTGTCACCATCATATAATGTTTCAACACATTTTCATTGTAATACATTGTCTAATGTTTCAACTATCTTTACTTTGCTAATGTTGTGATGGGGTTCATGAGACTGCCGTAAAACTAACTGGGGTCCCTGATTCAGTTCCCTGCTGTTTAGGGTCAGGAGTCTGATCAAACTCAATGTCAGTGTGCCCATTGTGTGCATGGCACTAGTGTAAGTTATAGGAATCTCCATAGTGACAAGGAAAGGGAGACAGAGAGGCGGCATGGAATACTCAGCACAATTCAGGACTGCATACTGCGTACATGTACTTTTGACATTGATTCTACAGTAGTATGTGGATGGTTGCCAACTTTTCTTATTATTATCATCACTGTTTATACATAAGAATTCCATCTGTACATTCACCATTAATCATATTGAACAGCTAGCATGTTGCTAAAAATCCAGTGTGTGTGAAGAATGATCAGATAGTTTGTTGCTTGCACCGCTGTATAAAACTGAAACATTTGTCCAGATGATTTCAGTAATCCAAAATATTCCAATGTTAAATTAACCAATTACATGTGGAAATAGAATGAAATGTGATCTTGACATGATATGTAATATGATATTATTAAAATCTCACAAAATGCGTTGCAATTGTCCCAGTGGACAGGGGTTTTGAGGACCTGTTGCCAGTCAGGCATTCTTGTGCTTTTTCTGTCAGAAACAGACACACTGTCGCCCCCTAACGGACACGTAGGACATATAGCTTTGCAATCCAAATATGTCTTTTTTATACTGTCTATCTATGGTGTCACCTAGTGGATGAGTGGAGTGATATGTAAATGTGTGATGTTCCGTGTCAAAATGTTTGAATTGTCCATCCGTCCATCTATCTATCTATCTATCTATCTATCTATCTATCTATCTATCTATCTATCTATCTATCTATCTATCTATCTATCTATCTACATGACACTGTTCGATTTGCAAAGTTTTTTATATAGTATTTTATATCTATATTTTATATAGTTATACATTACTATAATTTATACATTTTCTATTTTATTTTCCACAATTGTATCTCTGTAAAAATATCGAATCGTTGTTTATATAATCCTGACAGAAAATTTAAAGGTAAAAAGCCGCTGTATTTCTATTGGCTCAAAGCCGGAAGTGACGCATGTCAACCGGTGGCGGGAAGGTGTTATTTGCTGTATTCAACAGCCCCTTCATGCTCCAATGCTAAAGAATTAAGTCTTGGGTATTCCACGTAATTAAGATTTGAACCACTTACTGTTGTTTCTATATCATATCGATGAGACTATCCTGTATCAACGAACAGAATCAAGTGCCCGAGCGTCACGGTATAAGGGTGCGCTTTGCGCGAGACAGACGATTCTCATAACGGAAAATATTGATATTACAATGAGCTTTTTTAACCTGGACCGGTTCCGTTTCCAAAGGGACAATGCAGGTGTCAGTCACGGTAAACCATTGGATGAATCCAGCTCGGATAAGGAGAACCAGCGCGGTAACGTTAAGAACAAAATGCTATTTCCCGCCGGGGCTTTGTTCGGCGAAACAATAATGGCTATTGGCTAACGTTATGCTCCAAGACAGTTCTTGCCTAGACAGCAGCATGTCGGTCATCATAAAGAAACTCTGTTTTGTGTGTGATTGTGTTGATAAGAGATGATTTCCGAGTTTAATTGTACTGTAATGTAAAGCCATTCACGTGGGTTCTCCATTTTTATCAGTGGTCAGTATAACGTATAAGGTTTTTATCTTCAACACCCTTGTTTTGAAGTTGACGCTAACCTGTCATCAATCAAACCCTATCTTACGGCATATTTACGAGTATCTTTGTAATATGACAGGATGGTGAATTCAACTAAAATATTGTCTTGATTCAATGAATAAAATTCTATTTTCCAGCCCACCAAAGAAAGACCGATGGTCGATGTTCATCAGGCAAGACATCAAGACACACATTGGGGGATGTATTTGCTGATGACACAATTGTCAAGATGAGCAAGTAAGCAAGACTTGAGTTATTCATAAGTGAGCCTGTAACACGTATTCTCTAAGCTGCTTAAAGGGTTAGTTCACCCCAAAATGAAAATTCTGTCAGTAATAACTCACCCTCATGTTGTTCCAACCCCCTAAGACCTTCGTTCATCTTCGGAACACAAATTAAGATATTTTATTAAATCTGAGAGCTGGCTCACTCCTCCATAGGCTTCTAAGGGATTGAAACTTGCCAGCCCTGAAAAGTTATTAAAGAAATCGTTAAAATAGTCCAAGTGACTACAGTGGCTCAATCTTAAGATTATCAAGCGACGAGAATACTTTTTGAGCGAAAAATAAATAAAAATAACGACTTTATTCAAGTAGGCCTATTCATTTCCTGCTCTGTTGGCCTTGAGATATTCACATAGTATAATTGCGTAGAGCTTCTGTGTTCTACGTCACACGTAGCCTCACTATTGGCCGACGCTGGTCGTGTGCAGGCACGTGCACAGGTAGGGCTCAACCTGTGCAGAGCACATGCCCTTTTTGCCGAAGTGCCCTTTTTTCGGTGGTGGTGTTTTTTTTTATTTTTTTTTTTATAAATCAATGCTATTGGTCACCCTTTAAGTCTATCTGTCTGTTTTAAAAATATTTAGTCAATGAAAGATCTTAAAAAGAGCTTGTGTAAATCTTGTTCGATCCTCAAACTGTCAGTAAAGCTGATAACTCCGCCCCCTCTATCGTGACTGAATGAACTGAAGCTCCGCAGCGGCCGCACAGCAGACAGCAGCTGAACGAAGTTTTGCAAGGGTAAACACAGATCTTGTTGTTTGAATAAGTACTAAACACGTTGTCTATAAAAGCTCATATTTTATTTATTTGATGTCTGACTAAGATATGTGGGACCTGAGAGAGAGGGCTATGCTAGCATTTGGCATAGTCATAGCCAATACATAGCCAACACTTAAACAGCCTGTGCATACAGTAGCATTTCATTTTTTATAAAATGCGATTTTGACCAAATGTATTTTACAACAGGAAAAACTGAGCGCCTATATAGCTATAACAATCTAGTTGGTAAGCTGTTGATGAAAATGGAATGATGCCGCCGGCGCCGTTTCCATAGGAAAATCATAAGCACAGGTGCGCCCCCGCGCTGTTCGTACTGGAACTACAAAGTGATCCTCGTCGCCTAGGTAACATATATTTCTAAGAAATGTGTTCTTTGATTTATGATTGCTGCTGATACACTTAATTTATTAACATTTAATCATGTTATGGTAATAATATTAAATTAAGGTTAATTCAAGGCTGTTAATATGCACGTATTCGCAATGTAATTTTATATAGTAGGCTATTCTATACTCTCCGGTCGTCCTCACATGTATAAATGTAGTAAAACATGGTTTTACTACAGTAATATTGTAGTAGTAACTTAAAAAAAAAAACATTACAGAAGATCACTGTTAAATCTTTATATTTTATCATGCAGAATGTAATTCATGATTTAATTCATTCCAAGGCTTAATTTGTTTGATCCAAAATACAGCAAAAACAGTAATATTGTGAAATATTTTTACAATTTAAAATAACTGTTTTTATTTGAATATATTTTAAAATGTAGCCTAATTTATTTATTTAGTCAAAGCTGAATTTTCAGCATCTTTACTCCAGGTCAGTACTCTTCAGTGTCACATGATCCTTCAGAAATGCTTTTCACTGCAACTGTACTTTTCACACTATTTTATAATTTTTTTCATTGCTGGCTTACAATAAGAGACCTTCAAGAGACCAACATTGGTCCTCCGCAGTATCAAGTTTTTGCCATCAAATTCTTCTTTGCAATCAGATTCTTTTCAAAAATTAGGTTAATTAAAGAGACTGTTCACGCCACGTCTGTTCCTGAGCCGGTTAAGAACCAACTCCAAAGCCTTTGCTCAGAGGAGAGACTCTCAGACCTTCATGGCCACAGTGAAGTCATAAACATCTTCAAGCATGGCTCACAGAAGGTTCCTGTTGTAATTAGGTTTAAAGAAGCCCTAAAACCTTGTATATCTATATTATTATTATTATGGTTGTTATTAATAGTGAATAAATCTAAAGCTTTTGAGACTATTCTTTTTTTTTTTTGATTTGTCATGAAGATGTGACCATTTCCTCCTTTTATGTAGGCTTACTAAATAATCTTGATATAAAAAAAAGGGAGGGGGGTGCCTTTTTTCAGTTTCAGCACATGCCCCTCAAAAGGTCTGTGCACGGCCCTGGTCGTGTGTGATGCGTGTGACGTTCAACCAGAAGCTCTACGCAATTATACTACGTGAATATCTCAAGGCCAACTGAGCAGGAAATGAATACTTGAATAAAGTCGTTATTTTTGTTTGGGTTTTTTTGCGCTCAAAAAGTATTCTCGTCGCTTGATAAACTTAAGATTGAGCCGCTGTAGTCACTTGGACTATTTTAACAATGTCTTTCATAACTTTTCGGGGCTGGCAAGTTTCAATCCCTTAGAAGCCTATGAAGGAGTGAGCCAGCTCTCAGATTTAATCAAATATCTTAATTTGTGTTTCGAAGATGAACGAAAGTCTTACGGGGTTGGAACAACATGAGGGTGAGTAATTACTGACAGAGGCGAACCAACATTGAGTGGGGGCCCCAGGCAAAATTAATCAATGAGGCCCTTCTAAAATATTTTTTTGTAAATATATCTTTGTTACCTAGAGATATAATTATACAACATACAAAAGTAGTCAAAACACATCTAATAGAACATAAATTGTTCATTGTTTACAACATTAAAGTACTTATGTTTTATCAAGATACAATATAATTCTCAAGATACAGTACATAAATCTTCATATTAATAATGTATTGTCACCTTAACGCTGCTTACGAGCCTTAGCTACGGCAAATGCTGTCACTATGTCCTCCATATCCAAAGACCTTTGTATGTTCCGTTCAATGGAAATTAGTGCCAGTGCTGAGAGCCTCTTTTGGTTCATTGTTGACCTGAAGTATGATTTAATCAGCTTTAAAGCTGAAAAACTTCTCTCACCAGAGGCAACGGTGACAGGAAGAGTTAGAAGCAGACGAAGAGCAATGCTCAAGTTTCCATACAAATCAAGTATACTATACTATACTTTCGCTCGATGTCGCCGGCGCCGGCGGAAGTACCGCCCCACGGACCATTTTAAACAATAATATGACACAAAGACATAAATATGTCATTCAACATACAATACAATTTGAACTATCCTCCTTCGCACGGTCCCTTTTGTAAACAGTGGGGCGGCGCCGGCGACATCGAACGTGACCTTTCAACTTGATGACGTAGTTCCCGGCGCGTTGCAGATCAGCTCAATCCGAGCAGTTGTAGTTAAAAAGTATATTATTTTTTTTAGAAAAGAAAAAGAATCTTTTCACTAGATAAGACCCTCTTCCTCAGATGCGATCGTACACAGCCCGTTGAAGCACTTCAAAGACCTTTAAACTGCATTGATTTGGACTTAAAAACGTTGGTTGGTTGTCATTGAAGTCCATTTTTCAAAGAAAAATCCAGAAATGTTTTCCTCAAAAAAAAAAAAAAAAAAATTTCTCTTCCACTGAGAAAAAGACATGGATATCTTGGATGGCATTGGGGTAAATTAGTAGGAAAGTTTCGTTTTGAGGTGAACTAACGTTAATCCTTTAACGGTAACTTATTCTATTTCAGCCTGCATTAATACCGTCAAACACTTTACATGCTGTTGCTAAGTGCAACCCGCTAGCTAAGCTAAACACAGTTTTTCAGTCACATATTAACGTTACTAGTAATTAATCTTAAGTGAAACTAAACTGAAATTAACAACGTGGATTGTGTGATTTGTTTTGTACATTTCTTAAAATAGCTAGCAGCTACCATTACTTAACAGTCACCTCTGATAACAGATCACTCGAGATACGTATTTTCTGTAAATGTGCTTAAAAACGATATGTACTACTGTGAAAAATAAATGTGAGTTGAACGACGAAACGATTTGTTTGTCATTAATTATCCTTAACGTAAATGTTAAGTCATTGTCTGTCATAATCATCATCATCTCATTCTCCATCACTTAGCTGCTACCGCAGTCATGTTTTCTCTTCCCCATCATCTTGGTTTTTTTTCCCGCTTCTGGCTGCCAGATGGATATGTCCTCTTCATTTTTAATACACGAATTCATGCATTTTCGGGTACAGACAGTAAAAGAAAGACAGAAACGCGAGTAAGCGCTGCGACAGTTTGAAAAAGGCGCCAGAAGCAGCAAAAGCATACGCAGCCTTGCGAGAGAGGGGGGCCCACTAAGGGGGATGCGGAGGTGTTGCTGCGTCACTGCGTGTTATATTAATATGAACATTTCTGATTGTTTAAATGATCGGCCCTCGGGGGCCCCCTCAAAATGCGGGGCCCCAGGCAATTGCCTGCCTTGCCTGCCCCATTGCAGCGCCTCTGATTACTGACAGAATTTTAATTTTGGGGTGAACTATCCCTTTAACGTTTTCTTGAAATCTGAAGCTTATTGGTCATGCCACAAGGGTTGTTAATAATGAATTTTCTATTGAAGCCCATATAGTCTATAATAAGTGCAATTGACATACAATTACTTCACAGAGATTCAACAGAGTCCAAGCACCAGATGAACAAGGACATGGAGGACAGAATAATCAAACTATTGGAGATCTTCCCTCAGAAGAGTAAGAAAGATCTACTTGAGGTAAAGAGTCCCTCTTTGGTGTAACATTAATACTTAAAGCAGGTGAATTTTATACGGTTTGCATTGTGAATTTTATACTGTTATGCAACTTTGTTGTGACAGGTGGTTGAGAGCACCAGCACACTGGAGGGAGCTATAGCACATTGTTTAATGGTTTATGGGGATGAAGGTAAAGGTGTTTTTATTTTATGTAGATATGTAGTTATTCTGGAAAATTGACAAAAATAACTTTATATAATAAATAAACTTAAATACTTTAGAAATGAAAATAACTTCACCTTGTTTTCTACTTTTATAATTATTTATATGGTATATAAATGAGAGTTCTATGTCTTTATTAAAATCAAGGTTAATGATTTGTCTCTCATCCACCCAAGACCCATCCGCAATTTTTGGAATGTTATTTTTTTTTTTTACTTGACCAGCCCGACCCGTGATTATCCGCAGCGTCTGCAGATATAACTTGTGTGTGTGTGTGTAGTATATTTAGGTTTTTTACATATTTAATACCATCATTTCACATGGTATTATCACCCTAGTTTTAGTTTGTGCTGATTAAAGGTGAATTATAATTGAGGTGCTGTATTTATGAACTAAGTTTCAAACAAAGCCGTTTTATTAATGCAGATTCAGGCAGACAGAAAGGCAAAGCGGGACATAGCGATGATGATCAGCCAAAGAAGAGGAGAAAAATTGTGGTAAGATCTTTTGAATCAGATGTTTTCAACTTGACATCTTTCTCATTTGGTTAAAGGCAGGGTAGGTAGGTTTGAGAAACTAGCAGAAAACTGCTGGATTTTGAAAGTATCCAACAGAGAAACTCCCACCCCCTCCTTTCTGGGCTTCGTCCAAAGCCACGCCCCCAGAACACATGACCGCTCAGCTGGGGGACGCGTTTACCAGTGCCGAGCGGAGAGGAGAGGAGCGCAGTGCATGGAGTGACATCACCTTTTTTTGCCTTGTTTGCGTGAGCTGACTGTATATGCAGGGTACAGGTGGTACTGGGAATTTTGACTGCTCTTGCTCTGCCATAATTGTGAGACTTCCTAGCTTCCGGCCGGTACGTGCCTCTCCTCTTTCGAAATGAGCGAGTCAAAGGGGTTCACACATGTGGGCAGCTCCTGTAGCAACAGGGGTGGTAGCCATGGTAGCGAGGGAGAGTGACAGTCGCCCAGCCAATCATCGCATTCGTCCTGTTCGGAAAGAGTAGCTGTGTTTATTGCAGCCCTGAGAGGACTACAGACACTTTTTTTTTTTATAATCTCCTTTTCAGAGTACTTGCATTTTAGATATGTATTGGTATATAAAGACCGCTTAAACAAATTTGGGAAAAAGTGTTTTAGAAACAAACCGCCTACCCTGCATTTAATATGGAAAACTTCCTTTAAAATGGCTGTTGACTCTGATTTAGGGTTCAGATTCGGAATCTGAGGAGGATGAAGATTCTGAGGATGAGGAGAGTCAAGAGCCAAGCAGAGAGAAGCAGGAGGATTTATTGAAGAAGATGAAGAAGAAACTACCTGATATCAAAAAAGAGGTAGGCTAAAGGTTTGAAGCCATACTGAAGTCATGACGCAAGAGCACTGGGATGTTCTGGAAAATTTGTGTCTTCAATTTCTCCAACAGGTCCTGAGGGATGTCCTGAGAGAGCATGACTGGGACTATGACAATGCATTGGGATCACTGCTTGTGTTTTCATCAACAGGTGATTTGTTATTGCTACATTTTTGGCTACATTTGAAGATTTAATTTTAGTCCAAATTGAAATTTCAATGTGAGAATGAATTGACTTAAATCCATCCATGATTTATCACTTTAAGATTCAAGTTCACCAGAAGATCAGAGAAAGCAAGAGTCAAAATCTTCTTACTCCAGGGAAAAAAATGACAAGACTCTACAAAAGGCCGACAGCTCGTCTAGTCTGTCAAGATGGCTGACAGTAGCACCGTCTCCCATGTCAAAAGTCTCGAGTGTGTCTACTCCAAAAACACACAAATCTGCAGTCAGCAAAAGCACGACCAAGAACGCATCCTTTAAACGGAAGAGAGGCGATGAATTGCCTCTTGATGACAGCAGTGCATCTGAGGATGAAGATGAGATTGACAGTGATGTTGAGAGTATCTCTGATGATCTGGACTCGGAGGATGAGGAGGAGAGTGTCTCTGACAGTCTTCAGGACAAAATCATTAAGTTTCTCCAAGAGGCTTCCCTAGATGAGCTTGCTCTGATATCTGGCTGCTCGATCAAAAAAGCCCAGAAGATCATTTCGCTGAGGCCTTTCAACAATTGGAAAGATGTGGTAAGAATTTAATGTGCTCTCTGTACTGGCATGTTAACTGTCACTCTCAATTATGTTATTGTGGTAGAATGAAATCCCCAAAGGGCATTAGATCTTTTGGCTGCTTTGGCAGTTATTCATATTCAAAGATTCATTAAACTTGGGTAAAATCCTATTTTTGGCTAAGCTGTTTTTATTTTATTCTGAGTGGCATTCTGCTGACAGATTAAAAAAATAGCAGTTTTATCTAATTATTAAAGCAAAATATGTCGCACTACTTTAAAATGATTTGGTAACAAAACGGCAAATCACCAATCCATTCCATGCACTAAATACCCGGCACCGTTAGCTATCCGTAGTCCAGAAAGGTGATTCGTGCTGGTGGAATGACATTGGGTGACATGGCAATTCCCGATTGGAAAGGAAACCTACTTGTCATCAAGCCCCATTTGGTATAGATTGTCACTATTCAGTTAAATTCCTCCCTCAGATATCAGACCTACTATTAATCGGTATATTTTAGATAAGTGGCAAGAGGAGTGGAACGTGCAAGAATAATAAGCTCTATGAAATTCATCTGGAAATTTCAAACAGACTTTTAATCACTCTTAAAACTAGATCTGATCAAGTGGTATTCGCCAGATGTCATACAAGTTGACTCATGCTTTTTTGCTTAAAGGTGAAGAGTCTGAAGACCCAACTTTATGCATGTATTGTAAGATTCCCCTCTGTTAAACATATTTTATTGGATTGTCCTCCTGGGTATAATACAAGTAGAATGCTCCTTTATGAAGTTATTTCACTTAAGGACTTATTTAGTAAGATTAAGCCTGAAAAGGTTTTGGATTTTTTTTTTATCATATATTAATTTTTACAATTTTTTATAATATGACTTGTTTGTTTGCTTGGTTTTATTGTATTTATATGATATTTGTGTTTTTGTAATTATAATTTTGCCATGAAAATAGCCTTAGATAGATGGATAGATTGTTTTATTTAATGCCATGTCAGCATCTATCTATCACCATTCAGTTACATTAACTACTTGACCCAATGGTGGAAAATCTCTAATTGTATTTCTCTTCCTTTTAGAAAGAGCAGTTCTATAAGGATAATGGGCTGTCTATAGACCTGGTACATGGCTGCAAGGTGGTGCTTAAGGAGAGGCAAGTGGTTCGAGACCTTATGGGAAGATGTGAGAAGATTGCACAGAAAATGACTAAAGATGTCACCCAGGTCATAGAAGCGGGTATGGGCTCCATCAAGCATCCCAAAGTCCTGAACAGCAAGTGAGCTCATTATCTGTTCTCACCATCACACCTAAGATATCAGGTTATTTAATTTTCTTAATGGAAAATTATTTTTTGTTAGATTAACACTACAGCCATATCAGGTGATTGGCTTGAAGTGGCTGATTCTTCTGCACCAGCACAAGCTGAGCGGCATCCTAGCAGATGAAATGGTGAGTCGCTGTCCTCTTCAGTTCATATGGTGGTGTGAAATGATCCAAGGAGGTTACTGACTCCTTTTAGGCAAAGGACTATATTGGTTTTAAGTAATTTGATTTTTGCACAGGGGCTGGGTAAAACCATTCAGGCCATCTCTTTCCTGGCTCATTTGTATGAAAAAGGAATCAAGGGCCCTCATCTTATTACCGTACCCTCGTCCACACTGGGTAAGTGACGCTTATTTCATGGAAATGTAGCAACTGAACTCTGCTCTGAAGTGCTGCATGAGATGATGATTTTCACCATTTTTCTTTGCAGATAACTGGGTTCGTGAGCTGGGTCTTTGGTGTCCTAGTCTCAAAGTTCTTATTTACTATGGTGAGTTAGTTTCCAGGCAAGCACATTTAAAAATATATATATTTTAACAAGTGTCATTTAAAGTTTTTCAATTATAAAAATATTTTCAAGGAATAAATTGGATTTTAAATCCTAGATTTTCAATGTTTTCTCAGACCCCACCATAAATTAATACAGAATTATTTTTCCCCTCTTTTTTTTTTTTTGTGCTTAAACTTGTAGGGTCTGTGGAAGACCGCAGATATTTGCGACAAGACATCCTCAGTGGTTTGGTTGAATTCAACATCATAGTATCCACGTAAGTATAAGATGACTCTGCGAATTGTGAGACCGTCCTTATGTATTGGTGCACTGAGTTAAAAAAGCACACCAGACTTTGTATTCATGAAAATCAGTTGTATTCAGTGGTGCTAACACTTGTCTGTCCCTTTTTCTTGTTTCATCTGTATTAGCTACAATCTCACAATAGGGAATGACCATGACCGCAGTCTGTTCCGCAAGCTGAGGCTGAAGTATGCAGTGTTTGATGAAGGCCACATGCTAAAGAATATGAACTCGCTGCGCTACCGCCATCTCATGGCCATCAATGTCAGTACAAGCAGTCTTCTCTGCTGTAAACATTATTGTAAATACATTTTAGACACAAGCTCTTCCCTGCTATTCTCCCTCTTTTGGGGTAGTTTAGGAATTGCTTTATGAAGATGAGGGTAGAAGAGTTGTTTGTGTATATCTCTTAGTTGTACATGGTCATTTGTGTCTGTCTTCTACAGGCTGAGCACAGATTGCTGCTGACTGGAACACCTTTACAAAACAACCTGCTGGAGCTCATGTCCCTGCTGAACTTCATCATGCCCTCTATGTTCTCTAGCAGCACCTCACAGATCTCCAAAATGTTCTCTACGGTATAGACAGTACACAGATTACGTCTAAGTAATACTATTTGTGCCATCTCTTTCAAAAATGAATCTAAATGCTGCCCAGTTTTAGGGAAAAAGTAATTATGTACCTGGAAGGAACGCACTCTCACGCAGAAGATCTGCTTTTTCAGAGGTCGTCAGAAGAGGAAAGCAGTTTTCACAAGGAGAGAATCGCGCAGGCCAAACTTATCATGAAGCCATTCATCCTGAGACGAGTCAAGCGTGAGGTAGACCCTTTTTTTCCCCCAGTGTGATTATAATCAGATCTTTGATATCTATTATTAAGTTACTATATCTTGGCACAGAGACGCATGCATTGCAGGACTGATTCATTACTGAGAAAATTTCACAAAATTGGTCATCCATCAAAATAAAATGTATCTACATGGTCCTCTTTGGTGAAAATATTGATAGAATTTTATATGACCAGTATATTTATTTTTTGCCCTCCCTGATTGTGTGACTTTGCAAATGTCATTTTAGGTGTTGAAAGAACTTCCACCAAAAGTGGAGAAAATTGAAATGTGTCCCATGAGTGACGCCCAGCAGAAGCTGTATGACAAACTTTTCGAAAGACTCAAGAAGACTCCAAATGGAGACAGTATGTGCTACTCAGTTTTTATGCCAACATGATGTCTAGAAGTACTGCACAATGAGTTTTATTTTGGCTATATTGTTTTCGGATTTATTTATCTGACAAATACACTGGTTGTCACGATGTACTGGTTCCCTCTCTGCTGGAGGATCTGTAAAACAAAATGGGAATGTTGAAAACTGTTTTCCTATCTCTGAGCACCTGTCTCACACTTCCTCTCATCTCTTTGTGCTCAGAGCGGGAGCTTTGCAATGTGATGATGCAGCTGAGAAAGATGGCTAATCATCCGTTGCTGCACCGCCAGTACTATACCAGTGACAAATTGGCTGCCATGAGTAAAGCCATGCTTAAGGTGAGGACTGGGAGATTAATGTCTAAGGGAGGCTGAATAATAAAGATTGAACTGTATGTCTAAAAACATATTTCACCATGGATTCAGCCCTGGGAGCTTATTGGTTCTTTAATGTAGCACGTAGCTGTATTGTAGTGTTTTTTTAACCTGGAGGGTGCCTGAGCAAACATCCAAGGGGGCCTCAAGGGGACTTACAATTATTTAAAATGAGATGAAACAAGCATTACAATAGGTTAAAACTACATACAAATGTTTTTTTATCACTCCCTCAATTCAGTCTTTTTTTTAAGAAGAATGGCATTTAAACATTTTTTTTTTTTAAATGAATATACATATATTTCTAGATATGCTAAGGAAGTGAATAAAACATTTGTACAAATCCTTATCCATTAAATCACAAACATTTGATAAGGTCATGGGGTCTTTGAATTTTGTACCTTGGAGTCAAAGAGGTTGAGCTGACATGGTTCTGCTTATGTTAGGAGCCGTCACATTTTGATGCCGATCCTGCGCTGATCCAGGAGGACATGGAAGTGATGTCTGATTTTGAGCTGCATAATTTATGTAAGCAGTACTGCTCCATTAGCAATTTTCAGCTGAATAAAGAGCTCATCTTAGATTCTGGGAAGTTTGCGCTGTTAACCAAGACGCTCGCCGAGCTCAAAGAAAAGGTTTGTCTTGAGGCTGTTTAAAAAGTCTCACTTTGAGGTGTCACTCAAAGGTGTAGTTTGTGGTTTATTGCTGCTAATGCTAACTTTCTTTTACCCCAAGGGTGACAGGGTTGTGCTTTTCAGTCAATTCACCATGATACTGGACATTGTGGAGATGCTGCTTAAGAACCTTGATCATCAGTTTGTTCGACTAGATGGTTCTACTCCCATGGCGGAGAGGTGAGTTTAGTACCTTATTCACTTTGTTTGCACTGCACTCAATTTAGATTTGATCTCCAGGACTGACCATCCTCGCTGTTACTTGGAAAGTAATAAAATGTGATCGTTCATACAGTAAATTAATTAAATATATTTTGTATCTACATTTACTGTGGCAGCCATAACTTGGTCATGACAAAGTGGAAAATTTAAAATATTTACTCACTCACCAGTCGCTGATATGGCAATAAACTCTAATAATAATAGTAGTACTACTACTACTCCTCCTCCTCTCACCAGTCAGTTCATAGTGAAAGCAACATGTGATCGATTCGTATTTTGATAACTCAATTTAGACAGTTGTTCATGCTACTGTGCTTTGTGTGTGATGTAGGGCTGTCAATCTTCCTCTATAATACTATTCGAATTCCATTCCTTGTTTTATTTAATATTCGAATAATATTCGAATATTAAATGCTCAAATTCACCCTATTATTAATATTTACGACATTACTCAGGCTTATGGATCGCCAATGCCACTATAGCATGTGGTTGTTGTTACACGTTCTGTCCACTAGAGGGACATCTAACATTACAATAAACATTTTATTCACGCTGAATATGGTTGAAGCGCTTCCGATGGTTTTCAGCTAATATCTCCGCTAAAACACCACCAAACATTCTGAAACTTATATCGTTCTTTTCAGTTCGACTAGACGGTTCCAGCGAGTTTGGTGCTCGCCGAATCCGTTGAGTATTCGCCAAGATATTTGCGCTTCACGGGCGCTTTTTTACGTTGTTAAACATTTACCATTTTTTACAGTATTGTTATGATGATCAACGTGTATAACGTGCACAATTGTTACGATTCAAAAACTTTATTGTTCATCAGACGAAACAAAAGCATTTCATTTTCACATGCGTGTAAGCCAAGGTGGTGAGAAAGACAAGATTGCATATAAAAAAAATAAAAATAAAAATATTCGAATAGTAACTTCAGCATTCGAATAGTATAGATTTTTTTAATATTCGAATTATATTCGAATTTTGGAATTCGTTCCAACAGCCCTAGTGTGATGTCCCAATTTGAGTTGAATGTGCCATAATATCGTGTTTTTCTCTATGGCTGGGCGATAAACTGATATCAAGATTGCGATAAAATTTAAGTCGATAACGATAAGCTCCGGACATTTTTACTCTATGGATTAATCTAACAGCCTGTGTTTTTTTTGTCTGAGACAAACTCACACACGTGAAGCTCCTGGTGTTTTCAGCTTCTGCCGTCTCAATATATAAGGGCCTACACGCATGAACTTATCTCCTGAGCTGCTTTGAGAGTCACTTCTCACGCTTTTTACCATTTCAATTTGAGAAAAACTACTGTCAAATACACAATGAAACTGAAACTAAAACTGAAAGATCTTCGCAACTGTTGTGGCAAAAACATCACTGCGTAAGAGACAACTCGGAATCAAATTATTAAAAGAGAAGTATTTATTCTTGCAAGAATAGGCCCAGTCGCCCACACAGCAGTTACCCTGTGGAGTGAGTGAGACACTGACAGGAAGAAATGGGCAATCTTTATACTGCTCTTCAAGGTCCTTTTCCCTGCAGAGCTTCCCAGTAGTTTTCCACAGACAAAAGGCCCTTTACTGCTAGCTTTGATTTATAACTAACATTCTGACCTCAGAGGTCCTTGCCCATCTGGTTCTAGAGTGTCTCGCTCCTGCACTTCAGGTGTATAAACATACATACATTTCAGAGAAGTTCCTCCTCCTCACATCAGACTGCAAATGATAAAACCATATGTCATATCTTTGCAATGTCCACTGAAAATCAAACATTTTCTACAACACAACAAACAATCAAAATAAAAGTTTGGTTTAACTTGATGACAGAAATATATCACTACTGTATACTAAAATGTACTTCTCAAAGTAATAATATTATTATTATTTCTAAGGAATATCATACTACCAAGATCTTTTTTCATCCATGTTTTAAATCTGTACAGTTCTGTTGTGCAGCATCTTATTTGACAAAAAATAAAAATGCAATGTTTTGTTAACAACTTAAGCTTAAAATGTAATCAAATGAAAATATAACAATTAATTTAAGTTGTATTAAATCATAAAACACACAATCCCCCTAAAAAATGAGATGGATTTCATAGATGTAGCTACTCTTTTAATATTTAAACTCATTCTCAAGGTCTAACAAATATGTGGAAAGCATTTCCTTCCCCGTTAATTGTAAATTAATATTGTGATAAATATCGATAACGTATGATACAGAAAATATATTTTGACAATATTTTTGGCCATATCGCCCAGCCCTATTTTGCTGCCTATCTGAACTAATGTTAAATCTAATTCAACCCTCTTTGTTTTTCTAGGATTGGTCTCATTGACAAATACAATACAAGTCCTGAGATATTTGTGTTCCTTCTGTCGACCCGGGCTGGTGGCCAGGGAATAAACCTGGCCTCGGCTAACACAGTCATACTGCATGATATTGATTGCAATCCATTTAATGATAAACAAGCAGAGGACCGCTGTCACCGAATGGGGCAAACCAGGTTAGTGTCAACACAATGAAATGGAGATCACCATGAACAAAGAAGGAAATTTAGTTCCTGACCATGTTTTTTCATTTTTTTTCATTGCAGAACAGTGCAGGTGATCAAGCTCATCAGCAGGGACTCAATTGAGGCCAGCATGCTCCGCGTTGGACAGGAGAAGCTAAAATTGGAACAGGACATGACCACTGATGAAGGTGAGTGTCTGCACACAAACTCTATTAGACCCACAGGTCACAAATTTGAACATTTAAAATGTTTACTCACTCACCATCAGTGGCGGCTGCTGGTCTTTCAAAGAGGGGAAGCTCATTTTCGGCCTACATCTTAAAAATTGTCCATTTATTTACGTTAATTCTGACCTACGTTCCTTTTCAAGAAAATGCTCTGTGACCCTGTCGTACCAACTAGGCGTTTTTTCCAGTGACTTGACCATTATTATATTTGAAGATTCCTGGTTACATCTGAAATTGGTTTTTTTTTTTTAATGCGTTTTAATGAATTATACTTTTAAAAGGCATAACAAAAAATAGCTATATTATAATTGGTTACAATTATTTATGAGAATTTTACAGTGCAATACAAGGCATAATTAATACATTAAAATATTTCTATAATGCATTATATATAAAGACTTTAAGAAAAGTGTTACCAGAAACTTAAATCTAGTTATAAATGATTCACGTATTTGTGCATCACAACATTATAATGTGCTATATGAATAATGGATATTTGACCATTTGATATTTACTTTAAAATGTTCTTTGAGTATTTTTTTTAACTATAAAGGCTGCTGCAGAATTTTATCTATAAACAGTGGCGGTTCTAGAGGGGGGGCCAGGGGGGCCAGTGCCCCTGTGACAAAAAGCTTGGCCCCCCTTGTGGCCCCCCTAAATGTGGAGTTTGAAATAATTTTTACAAAACTGTTTTTTGCTATCGTTGTATGCGTATTATTTTTTATTTTTCTATCTTTGTGGATTTGCATTTTCACGTGACAATTCGCATCACATTCGCGGGAATCGCGGCAGAATAACGCCTCTCTCCTGCACGCGAGAGAGGAGAGAAGAAGAAAGTTGGTAAATGTCAGTTCAGTTGTAAGTTCATTCTTTATGTGCGTATGGGGTGTGCGATGTGTATTGTCTATTATGATATTGTAATCATTGTTTTAACTATGTACGAGGCACTGTGAGCTGACATAGCATGTGTCTATCGTCCTTTCACTGCTGTGTGCAGTTCATAGGTAGGCTATGTCATAGTGCGAATTACAGGGGGTACTGGGGGGTACTATACCCCCCAAAGGGACAGAAATATCAGTTTTGGGGGGGTCAGATAATTTTTCTGATATTGTGAAAAAATATAATTACAGTTACAATACAAGTCAACTCCTATTTTCACTGTAGGAACATTTTAATGTAAAGCGATTTCAGCGAACACCCCTATTGTGGACCGTACCATTTTTAACCACCGTGGAGATAGAGAAGGGCAGCTAGCCGAGTGAGTTGTTGTTGTTGTGCTCCTGCTAATGTACGGACAAAGTTGCGCTGTTGCGGCTCGCGCAGTTATTTATAACATTAATTTATAGTTAAGAAACAATATATAGGCTACACACGACCAGAGTGCTGTTTTCCTGAATGCCATCACGATTGAAACCGATATATTGATTTCATAACAGTTCGATAAACAAGTAAAATAGTTTAAATTAAGTTACTTACATTTTTAGACGCAATGACTGTTTTTGTTCTGTTTCAGCAGCGAAAATAGTTCCAAACAACAGAACCACAGCGCATCTCAGAGCAACAGTCATCCATGATTCATTACTGAATAATTCAGCGTTTTGAACTAATCGCTCAGTCAAAGATTCAATTACCCATTATTAAACCGCCTCATTCTGAATAAATCAGCCGTTTAAATGAATGACTCAATGAATCGCTCACTAAGACGGCCGCCTGCCGCCTCCTACTGGCGGTTTAGTTTCAAAGTATCATTCTTTTCAACATGCCTTATATTATTCAAAAAATATTTAAAACAATCTCATAATGTCATTTAATACAGTTATAATTTTTCAATGTAAATTATTTCATTTGATTGGCCGCTAGGCTGTCTTGTTATTTTAATTGAATGTAGCCTATTAATAAAATGTAAGAATTTGAAATGAAATTTAGAGCATACATTAAATAAAATTAAGGAAAACTGCCCTTTTATAAAGGTACATAAAATTATTCAGATAAGAGTGTTTTCAAAAATGAGGGAAGGAGCAGTACCCCCCAATTATGGTGGGGTAATTCGCACTCTGGGCTATGTCCCCAAATTAGTTTTTGTCTTATATTTATATCATATTATGTTCTTATATCAGAATATCACATCAGCAAGAGTGCTGTTTTCCCGTGCACAATTGCAACTGTGATATTTATGTTATACAACAGTTAAATTAACAATAAGTTAACATTGGGAGTTACTTTTTAGACACAATATTGTCAATATTGTTTGTTTTCCCTTTATTTCGCCGACTAGAATTTCATAATGAAACCGTAGTGAGTCTCAATGCAACACAGCGATGATTTCTTGACTGAAATCCGCGTTTTGAACGAATCACTTGCTTCTTTCCCGAATGAATCAGCCGTTTGAACAAATCGGTTGAATGAATGAATCCCTCTTAAGCCCCGTTCACACCGCCAGCGACACGCAGCGACAAAGCGACATGATCCCATTCATTTCAATGGAGCGCTGGCGACATCCGGCGACACGAGCGACAGCGACCGTTGGCGACAGAATGTGGGCGTGTCAAGCGACAAGAGACAAGCGACAAAAGTTGAGAAATTTCAACTTTATGCAAATGTGAAGCGATTTTCGCGAGCGACAACCAATAGGAAAGTAGAAAGTAGAGCTCACGTCACCGTCTCGAGTGCAGGCAAGACAGAGGAGTTCGAGGGAGATTTCACTGTTTATATGATTTGACTGTAACCACATACATGGATATAATAAAATGAGGCATGGAAAAGAAACTGTCGACAGTCTCAGTGAGTTTAATTTATACATTTAAAGTTCGAGTTTTGTAATTTTGTGATGCAAGTTTAGCACTGCTGCAGTTCATTTTACAGTTTCCCCTGCATTATGTTAACTATTAGGGACAAGAAAATTGATTATTTGTCAAATTCGAATGACGTTTTAGTCATTTATGACGGAATGAGTGAGTTTAATTTGTTGATTCATCGATCGTTAATCTTGTAAATGATTTAATCCACTGAACACTGCTGTGGTAATATAAAAACACTCTCCCAACAGCATACTGTTTCTTTTGAGCCTAATTCCTAGTCAAATTAAAATGATATTGTTGTATATATATCACTTCTGGTGGTATTTTGTATAGATATGGCCAGGCGTGCAGTCAACCAATAACATTAGAGCGACAGCACTACGAACGCCCACAAGCGACTTCACAGTGCAGAGACTAGCGACATGTAGCGACAAAATCGCTGGCGGTGTGAACGGGGCTTTACAGGGACTTCCCGCCACCTACTGGCTGTTTTAGTTTCATATTTAAAGTATCCTTTAATTAAAACGTTAAAATTAGAAATAATTTCATTTTTAAATATTGATTTGAAAAAAAATCTCATAGCTTTATTTATGCAATTGTAAATGGAGTGTAAATATATTAATGCCACTTCTGTGTCACCTCTGCACTGCAAAGATGGATTTTGATTGAATTAATTAATTTGACTGGTAACAGTGGTACTGTATAATTATTGTATAATTAAGTATGATTGTATAAATAAGTATAATTACTGTATAATTTGAATATTAGTATTTGACATAAAAGGTGATGCATAACTCTAAATAAGTTTAGAAAAAATGTCCATATATAGGTGAAAATGCCCCTGGAAATCAATTTAAGGTGGCAAATATTGCCCCTTAATTAAAAAATGTATTTCTGTCACTGCTGTGAACTGACCACTGCATAGAATATGAAAAATATGAATATCTTCGTGAGTCAGCTGTCAACAACAGGCCTAAACCAGCCATGGCACCAGCACAAAAACACAATCAGTAAAATATTATCTAATTATTAACAAAATGTTGAAAATATTGAAATATATTTTTGTCAATATTGCACACCCCTAATGTACGGTATTAATTTTGATTTCTTTAGGTCTTAAAAAGCCTTAAATTGGACTTTAAAAAGTGTGCAGGAACCCTGTAAACGGTTAGACATATCAAGTCAGTTATTTTCAGTAAATGAATTAATAAGCTTCTTGGTCCCCATTGCTTTTGCTCCATAGTTCTCAAAATGAAGAGAAAGAAGGACATCATGTCTATTACAGTTACTGTGACTAATACTGAATATGTAATGCAAATGTAAAAATATAATGGAAATGTAAATACATTGTTGAATGATTATAAACACGGTATTTTGCCTGTTAATGCCTGCAGCAGTGCAGAAAATGATATGACAACAATAAGGTCTAAATGTAACTGGCCCCTCTAACAGTACAACTGGCCCCAGCTTGGCCCCCCCCAGTTGAAATGGGCTAGAACCGCCACTGTCTATAAAGACCCATTTATAATGTCTGAGAAAAATATTAAGTTTCATATTATAATATAAAAACAAGTTTTGTAAATTAAATTATTATTGCAGACCTGCCAACCCGTACGCATTTTGTGTAGCGGATATGCATTTTGACCTCAAAGTACGCTGGTACAATTTGTCACTCTAAACTACGCAAAAACCTGGTGACGCTTCTGTGCACGCGCAGTCCTCAAATCAAGCAACAGCAAAATAAGCAGAGTTCGACCAATCATAGCGCTGGGTTCATTCCCCAAATAGCAATCGGGGATGATTGACAGATGCTTAAGGCCTATCATTAAAAAGAGACTGAAAATCGACAGCAATAAAGAATCCCACTCGATCCCGCTTCCACTCCCGCGGCGCGCCGTCTGACTGAGTTCATAAGCGAGGACAGTACAAAAATCGCTGTCAATCAAAAGGAGATGCAGTCTTTCGACAGACCCTCCAATCATCACGCAGAAGCCCGGAGTCCAGGCCAGCCCACTCCTCCATTCACCCCCAGAGACGCTGAGCATCCGTGGGTGGGACATAATCGCAGCATTTATCCAATAATCGTCTAGTTTCAATGAAGTCAATGGACGCTAGGCTTCAACAGGGAAATGCACTGTGCTGCTGCGGGAATGTATGAGAAGGAAATCGAGTCAGCCGACCTGCTATATGTAGCTGATTCTGAACGAACTCGTCTTCGAGATGAACGCGTTCTAACGCATTTTTAGTCAATAAAATGTTAACACAATAGTACGTATTTGACCATTCATTTTTTGACATTATAGGGGAAGCCGAGCTTCCCTTGCAGTCTTAAAGAAATCCTTACTGATCACCATTTAGTTCATTAACCACTATAGATTAAAGGCTCTTTAATAAACTTTTGTCGCTTTGTTCAGGTGAGGACGGTGCTATGACTGAACAAATGGCAGAGCTGCTCAAAGTTTCACTTGGCCTTTGAAACCTAAAGAACATGGAGCAATAGCTGCTTGTGGATTTCCCTTCACTCATCAAGTGCTAACAGCAACCTGAAACCATAAACCTGGCCTTTTGATTACCAGCTTACTTCATGGGGGATTTGGTGAAGATTGGCACTTTTTCCAATGTTCAAATATTTGAGGTCAGTTATTAAATGCACACAAATCTTGGACCAATGTTCTGGCCATAGAGGAGACTGTATTACTCTGGGTACTGTATTACTATTATACTTGGTAATCTTCCACACTATGTCTTATGTGCCATCAGAATGACTGTACTTAACCCACCAGGGAATTTAGCCCCCACAGGACTGGCGAGTTGGTTCCAGATTACAGACCTTCTGTAAGGCACTGCTGTAAATAACATATTTCTGTTAAACTGGTTACACTTGTACCTTATCAAATTTGTTTTTCTGCGTGTGTGTCCTTATATTATGTTTTTCTAAATAAAAATATTAAAATTTACTTAGTCTAAATTGTTTTAGATAAAAATGAGTTTTAAAATATTGTGTATCCATAAAAACAAATTGAAAAAGTAGTCAAAGCCATTGAACATTTGAACAGAAATTGAGATCACTTCAATAAAAAAAAAAAAAAATGTTCCTGAACAGAGTTTAAAAAGGCACTGGTACAAGGTAGAAATATTTATTAATATTGATGCAGTAATTTTTTTTTAATTCGGTTTAAATTAAAATACTTTCAAGACACTACACCCCTGTCAAATAGTAGGATGATAAAGAAAATATGAAATTTGTTCTCAGTCACTGTCTAAATTGATTACAATTTTGCTTACATCGCTTCACTTATAAGGCTACACCAATCAATTATCAATTGCTTTTTACTTAAGTGTTTGGTGTTTTAATTCCCCATACTGTTCACTCTACACCACCTAATTTTGGCCACATTCTAAAGCTCTTTATACTCTCTGCTTACCCTGCGGCCAGAAGATCGCCTTTTTTCCATTAAAAAAAGCGGTTCCTGCAACCACAAGAGCAACTAGAACCATTAAACCAACAGCTACACCAGCCTTTTCTCCCTACTCTGATGCTAATTCCATTTAGTTAATCTCACCAGGCTTTGCCAGTCGCCACATTTTAGTTTGTCCAACTCTCACCCAAGAACGATCACCTTCTGTCATTACAGCTACAGTATTTGTGGCAATCATACTGACCATTGGTGGTCTTGTGAATGGTGGGCTCGTTCTACGAGCGTAATAAGGTGGGATAGTAAACTGGAGGGCAAGAATGATCACCAGTGGCTGGGTTTTTCTGTGCCGTCTCATCACTTCTCATCTGATGTCAATGGAGTGCATTTTTGGTAAATGCCACCAAAGCTGAGATTAGTGACGGGACCCTCGCAAGAAGCATCATCTACATTTGTCTACAAGTTGAAATTTGGAGAATCTGGACTTGCACAACCTGGAATGGTCTTTACTTTATAGTATTTCTCTGTAGCCTGATGAACCGAAGCCATTTTGCTTAATATTGGTATTGGGTGGTCTGGGAATGTTGATGGATTAAGAAAATAGTGCAGCGGCAGCCCAGTGAAAAATAAATACTGAATTGTATTTAAAATACATTTATTTAATGATAAGTATACTAAAAATACACTATTAACATAGTTATTTAATTAATGAAGCTCACAAACTTAGTGCACTACAATTGGGGAAGGATGAAATACATATTCAATATACACTGGCTAGGTTCTTAATTCCATCTACAACAATTATCATAATGATGTTCTCTGAGCACAAAAAACAAAACAAAAAAAACTTTAAATATGACCTACAAACGTGCACACTCACGTGTATATATAATAATATACCAACTGGCCGAAAGATTTGAAAGAGGATGCCCACTTCATAACCCCAATGACATGTCCATGCTCACTCAGCCCAGCAACTAGTCTCGGTAAGGGATGAATGCGGAATCATCTCATGATACTGGAGATGTCTGAAGGCCATATTAATGTTTGTCTGTGGGGATTGTTTGTATGTTGTCATATCAGTGGGCTGATTAATTTGTATTTTTTTTAGATGGAATCTTTTTTGGGGGAATTAATCCTAAATCTAAATCTTTCTAATAATACAATAATAGCTTCTTTACTCTAAATAACCAATGGTGGTGCCATGCACCAAATCTTTTATTATTACTAGTATTTTTGTCCACATGCTGTAGTCTCATTTATTATAGGGTTATGTTTTAGACATTCTACTGTGCACTGAAGTTTGCAGCATGAAGATTGAGATTTTAAAGAGTTTTATTTCAAGACGCACAAAAATAGGGCTTTGCCTTTTCAATTCAAACTGACAAAAAATTACTATATGAGTTTGGAACAAAAGGGTGAGTAGGCTAAATAATGATTATAGAATTTTTTTAAGTGATAAAATTTGTTTTTGGGTAACTATTCCATCAATTTTCAAGATTTGAGACCTGAATCTTTCTAATAACACAAGAAAGGAAATGAAAACTGGCTGACTCGTTCCACATGCGCACATTTTTTTTTTTAAACAACCATGGAGAGGGCTATCATGCACCTAATTTTTCTATTCTTTGAAAGCATTTATTTTAAGGAATCATGCCATACTTTTTTATAATCCCACTAAGATCCACTTATGTTTGTCAAGATTTTTATTGAATAATGGCATCAATGTTTTCTGCAGAGCTGCTTTACAGCTAAATTGAACTCATTGCATAATTGATTAACTTTACACAATTACTGAACTGATTTCAGCTAAATAATGACACTACTGTCTTAGGCTATGTTTACACGGAAACGATCTAAAGAGAAAACGCGAAAGTGGCGTTGCATTATCACTTTTTATTCTGTGTTTAGATGAGCATCATGGCTGGGAAATCCGCGTTCATATGGTGACGCAAAAGTGTGTGAAATTCGATGTAGTATGCACTCCAGGCGGCTAGGTGGCAATGTGAAGCACTGCCACACAACAACGCCAATATCTTAGAATATTTTGTACAACTGCTGAAAAGACTCTTGTATGTTTTTCAGAGCTGCTAGGGCAACTTGAAGGTCCGACGTATGGCATGACATGGCATGACATGTTGGTGGTTATTTTCCTGTACTGGTGCATGCATGTGACGTAAACGCGTACGCGACGAGCCACCGTGAGCAGATTTGCATTTTTACCGTTTAGACGGGAACGCGACGGTGGAGCGTTTTTAAGATTTCCACTCTGGAGGGTGGTTTCACTTTTTTGCGTTTTTAAGTCCCCAAAACGCTGTTGCCGTGTAAACGAAAGGCACATCCGCTAAAATATTTGTACGTTTTCACCCGGAATCGTTCTCGTGTAAACGGGGCCTTAGAGTGGAATCTTACAGAATTGAATTGTTTGCATCATTGATCATTGTCTTCCAGTTTATCACTCTAAAGCTGCTTTGAAACTATCTGTGTTGTATAACGTGCTACATAAATATGATTGTTTTAACTGTTAAAAACAAAATTAGCTTTTATTTTATTTCTGTACCTTTTTTTATTAACAAGACATAGCTGCTTCTACAAAGTAAGAGACCAATGACATACACTCACCTAAAGGATTATTAGGAACACCTGTTCAATTTCTCATTAATGCAATTATCTAATCAACCAATCACATGGCAGTTGCTTCAATGCATTTAGGGGTGTGGTCCTGGTCAAGACAATCTCTGAACTCCAAACTGAATGTCAGAATGGGAGCAATTTTGAGCGTGGCATGGTTGTTGGTGCCAGACGGGCCGGTCTGAGTATTTCACGATCTGCTCAGTTACTGGGATTTTCACGCACAACCATTTCTAGGGTTTACAAAGAATGGTGTGAAAAGGGAAAAACATCCAGTATGCGGCAGTCCTGTGGGCGAAAATGCCTTGTTGATGCTAGAGGTCAGAGGAGAATGGGACGACTGATTCAAGCTGATAGAAGAGCAACTTTGACTGAAATAACCACTCGTTACAACCGAGGTATGCAGCAAAGCATTTGTGAAGCCACAACACCCACAACCTTGAGGCGGATGGGCTACAACAGCAGAAGACCCCACCGGGTACCACTCATCTCCACTACAAATAGGAAAAAGAGGCTACAATTTGCAAGAGCTCACCAAAATTGGACAGTTGAAGACTGGAAAAATGTTGCATGGTCTAATGAGTCTCGATTTCTGTTGAGACATTGAGATGATAGAGTCAGAATTTGACGTGAATAGAATGAGAACATGGATCCATCATGCCTTGTTACTACTGTGCAGGCTGGTGGTGGTGGTGTAATGGTATGGGGGATGTTTTCTTGGCACACTTTAGGCCCCTTAGTGCCAATTGGGCATTGTTTAAATGCCACGGCCTACCTGAGCATTGTTTCTGACCATGTCCATCCCTTTATGGCCACCATGTACCCATCCTCTGATGGCTACTTCCAGCAGGATAATGCACCATGTCACAAAGCTTGAATCATTTCAAATTGGTTTCTTGAACATGACAATGAGTTCACTGTACTAAAATGGCCCCCACAGTCACCAGATCTCAACCCAATAGAGCATCTTTGGGATGTGGTGGAACGGGATCTTTGTGCCCTGGATGTGCATCCCACAAATCTCCATCAACTGCAAGATGCTATCCTATCAATATGGGCCAACATTTCTAAAGAATGCTTTCAGCACCTTGTTGAATCAATGCCATGTATAGGCAGTTCTGAAGGCGAAAGGGGGTCAAACACAGTATTAGTATGGTGTTCCTAATAATCCTTTAGGTGTGTGTGTGTGTGTGTGTGTGTGTGTGTGTGTGTGTGTGTGTGTGTGTGTGTGTGTGTGTGTGTGTGTGTGTGTGTGTGTGTGTGTGTGTGTGTGTGTGTGTGTGTGTGTGTGTGTGTGTGTGTGTGTGTGTGTGTGTGTGTGTGTGTGTGTGTGTGTGTGTGTGTGTGTGTGTGTGTTAAAGGGGAGGAAAAAACAACAAAATATAGTACACTGTAAAATCATATACAAAAATTGCTTATAAAGCAAATATGGCTGTGATGACTTCTTTTCAGTCTTGCAGTCTCTCATGTTTATTTTATTTTACTTAATTTGTTTACAGGGGCAGTGCACATTAATGAACATAGATGTAAATGTGCCAGAACATGCCAAAAAGACTATTTTTCAACTGTAGACTCTTGACAGAATGTTAAAAAGGCACCATAAAAATAAAGCATCTTATATTAATACACATGCACAAAAGAGAAAGAAGAAAAGAAAAAAGCACATTTTCAAATAAAAAAAAAACAAGTACATGATTCCATGTGGAAATCATGCTAAAATACACTAACAGAAAATTTTGTCTAAACATATATTGTGCTACACAAGGAGGAGAATTTGTTAGTGATTGTTTATACAGAGACTCCAATGGTTTTAGAGTAGTTCAGACAGGACCACTTTGGCAATTTACTTGAGTTTATTAAACACAATTTATCTTTCGCGGTATGGTTCCTTATGGGGGTTCTTGCTCCATGATTAATGGCATACAGAGCTTAAGCATTAACCCCCCCCCCCCATAGAAACATCAGCTAGAGTGATATACAGATGATTAAGACACTTTAGTAATATATTTAAAGCAAAACAGTATTAACATGTAGACGTGGCGGGACGTCTACACTGTAGCTTGGCTATGAGGATGAGTGTCTCTCAGCAGTGATGTCCGTGATAGCTGGACTTGAATGCCTTGGTAATCTGAAACAAAAGAAGACGACAGCCAGAAGGTGCACAGTAATATGCTTGATACTTATAGTGGTGAGGGCGGGAGGGTTGTGAGCAGTTTAAGCATGCTTACCGAGCAGTAATGCCACGTGTGTGTATATATCCTCCCAGTCTAATAGGAGAATGGTTGTGGTTGGAGTGATTTGACAGCTGACCATGTAGTAAGTGATATGAGATAATCATTGAATGTAGCCTACATACAACATAGTGGCCTCTGTTGACATAATCTCGTATAGATCTAAAATTTGACCTGGTTACAGACCTTATTAACTTAAGCCTTAAAAGAAAGTCTGAAATCAATCACAACTCCAAGGCCTACTTATATTCAGATACAACTTGTAGCATTTCACCTGATACAACAACATCTGGCACTACACTTGAGCTAATTGTTTTGGTTAAAAAACAAACAAACATGCACACTGTTTTAGAGATATTTAATTGTAAACCGTTCTAACCACACTGTAAAAAATAATCCTGTAAAAAAAATGGTAAACTACTGGCAGCTGTAACAATACGGTATGATGCTGTTTTTGAAATGAACAGCTAAATACTGTTTTGTCAGCTACAGCCGTTAAATTACAGTTTTATACTGCAGCTGTCAAAACGGTATTTAGCTGCTGAAATGAGCTTCTAAACGAAGAAACCTTTCCCGCTTGAAAATTACACCTTTCTCATTGGTCAAGCCAAACTTAAGAGGTGTGACTTCCACAGAAGTTAAAATGGTATCTCAGTGACCTTCTCTTCTTCTTCTGGTTGCTGTTCATTTGGAAACGAGCTTATGCCCTGGTGCGCAGCCGGATGGTCCTCAAAGTTACAACCAGCCCTGTTGTAATTTCCCTGACTGCAACCAAGTCAGACTAACATCACTGAAGTTCATCATCCTCCACTCAACCAGGGGTGCGTTTCCCAAAACCATAGTTGCTAACTAAGGTAGCAACTTTGTTGGTTGCAATGCAATTTCCCATTGCCAACCAACTAAGTTGCTAACAGGTTAGCAACTATGGTTTTGGGAAATGGACCCCTGGATGATTGTAACTTTACCACCATCGAACTACTGAACCATCATGACTTTCTTCTGAGTAAATTTAACTAACTAAACAGAGGTGTAATAAGCGTGTATAACCCCTTGTTACCTGATGGTGCTGATGTTCAAGTGGTTAACTGACGCATTTTCATAGCTTCATTCCACTGTTTCTTTTTCGGTTTCATTCATTCACTTTCACTTTCCATTTACCCATGTATGCGTGATTGTGTTCATGTGTATGTTTAGACTAGCTATGTGTTTGTGATTAAGTTAAAACTTTTGTGCACATTCACGTGAGTGTTGATTCTGTGGTCACTTCTTGCTAAACAAAGACCCTTTAAGGGAAAATGTATGTATGGATGCCCTGTAAGAAAGTTATTTTTTTGTGGCCACGAAAAATATCCTTTTTTTTTAAAAAGTTAATAGACGATTAATAGCCTACCGAGTGTTAAATGGACAAACATGTTAATTGATTGTAATAATAATTCAGCTACATCAGGTTAATTCTATTAACTGATCCAAATATCCATAATTAAATAAGTTATAATTGCAAATTTGTCAGGATGAGGCATACTCCTTTTCCATTTTTTTTTTAATTTTCAATTTTACCATATGCAACACAGCACATACATAACAGACGTCTTGGCTATCGTTTACTATACTCATACTCAAAGTTTGTTTAAAACAGTTCGGGTCGGATCGGATATTAGATCTAAGAACTCAGGTTAGCCTTCCCCCATAAACACCTGTTGAAAAGAGTAAGTGAGTTCATCCATCTCAAAATATTTTCGATAGTACATGTTTACACTAAATAAATGGGCTGTAATATGGCTTGAGAGCAGATGAAAGTATTTCATAAGAAAAACTTTTCTTATAATGGAGTCATAGAAAATGCACAAAAACCAGTTCAAACAGGAAGTCATGCAGGATATATATTTATTGATTTATTTGTTCATTCATGAAATGTAAATCAATATTGCTTAGGATAATGATAATAAAGGGGAAAAAACGCACATTCCTGATACCCATCACCACATGCCAATCAATGCGATTTGATTACAGTACACAATTTCCTCATTCATAAGTAGCTTTGAATAAAAGTGTGTTAAAAAATTTCATTTATATATAATGTAAAATAATTACATTAGTATTCTCACTTTTTGATCTTTCTGACTCTTTATGCAACTCTCAATTTGGGCCACACTCCAAAGCACATCTCAAAGTAAGAACACCTAATTTTAATACAGAGTTCCTGACACCATAGCAATCAAAGCTATCAGACCATAGGTTACACCAGCCTGTTCTCCTCCAGACCTTTACCAAACATTTGGTTAATTTCAACAGGATTTGCCAGTTGCCAAGTCTTTGTTTCTCAGACTCTCACCCAGGAAAGATTACCTTCTGGCATTATAGCTACAGAGTTTGTCGCAGTCATGCCAACAAGTGGTGGGCTTGTGAATGGTGGGAGGCGAACAGGTTTTATCTGACCACCACTGAACACACCGGACTGGACACAGTACAATATCTGACAGCCATCACTAATGGCAGCAAGATTTTGGCTAAACTGAGGTGGACAACGAGATTGACCCATTGCAAAAGGATTGCCAGACTGGCAGCTGAAGAAACCAGCAAAAGGCACAGAGGATTTTGTTGCTGTCACATAATCATTGCTCAGACAAACCTTCATGTCACTACACAAAAATTTCTGTACAAAGAAATTTGGAGGACAGCTGTAAGATTTGGTAAATGGGTTTTGCAAAGATGGTCCATATAGACCTCCAAAGAGGTATCCAGAATTCAAAGGTGTTTTCTGAGTTGCGGGACACCAGTAGGTGTCTACTTTTGCACGACGGACATAAAAAACATCACTACATATTTGGTCACAACAAGTAGACAACCATAAGAAACCACATGAACGACAGGACGCTTGGCACTCGTTACGAGTATACCCTCGTTCTACTGTCTCAGAGCGTAACAGGGTGGTGTTGTACTGTGGAGGGCAAGAATAATCACCAGTGGCTGGGTTTTTCTGTGCTGTCTCATCACAGATGGTACTTCCATCTGATGTCAATGAAGTGCATCGTTGGTAAATGCCACCAAAGGTAAGATTAGTGACGGGACCCTCACAAGATGCATCATCTACATTTGCCTGAAAGTTGAAGTTTTTGGAATCTGGATTTATACACCCTGGTATGGTGTTTACTTTATAGTATTGCTCTGCGGCCTGAGAAACTAACAATGCTAATTGATTTAGAGTTGCTGCTGGAAGGTCTGGGAATGTTGATGGATTAAGAAAATAGTGCAGCGGCAGCCCAGAGCGGTCAATAGCCACCAGATTATTGAGCGTACTGTCTTGCCACTTCTGTAGAGTGATGCCTGGGTAGAATAAAGCTCCACCATGGCTCTGAATTAACGAATATGTGATGTTACCCTGATAACCACTGGTTTTAGAGGTTCCCTGGGATGCACTGGCACCAATATCAAATTTAACTTTTTCAAAGAAGGAACTGCCTGCTGATGCAGAAATAGAAGACAATTCTAACTGATTTTTCTGGATATAAGATGTTTTTAAATATTCCTCTTGCACTAAAGTAGCACCAGCATCCACACTTATGATGACATGAGTACCATAATCAAGTATTAGTTTCTCTGACAGGTAAGTTGCTTGACGTGTTTGATTGTTATTAATAGCATCTGCGATTTCCTCTGCCTGTTGAGCAAAGCGGGAGTCCAGAGCAAAGTCCGGATAGGCCTTTACTGTGTACAGATGGTTACGGACCTGAAAAAAAAAATAAACAAAAGAGAAAAGACAGACCGACTAAATAAAAATGTTTATTTTAAAATCTTTTACACCTTTACAAATTAAATATATTTTCTGGCATAAAAAAATAATAAATGCTCACATTAAATGATCAATCATAATGAAAAATGAAAATTGTTCTTCTATTTTCAGCAGTCAATAAGTGGAAAATTGTAAAAAAAAAAAAAGGTAATATTGAATATTAGCATATATATATATATATATATATATATATATATATATATAAGCTTGTGTTTCTGTAATTCAAGCCATATAAAATTATTTGTTAACTTTGTTAAACTGTTGTTCTGACTTACTTGAACCCGTGCTGTTACAGAACTCTCTCTCACTTGGTGAGTTTTAATACGTTGGTTTTCTTTAGAGAATTTTCCATTGAGCAAATGAAGATAGGAAGCTTCTGCATTGATGGAGTTTGAAGTGGAGCTAGTCTGGTCCATCCATGACATCATGATCTCCGAGTTTGTTTCCACTCCACTCACTTTCTGTGGAATGACAAAGACTTCATCTGGAATGAGATAGACACCATCTTCTGTGGTCTGACACTGGGAATAGCTCAGATTCATCACCCGGCCCATGTCTATGTTGCGCAGGTTATCCCAGCCTCCACCTGGAAGAACCTCCAGCGCTACTGAAGATGGGTTTTTCAGGCATGCATTGAGTCCATTACTGGGATGAATGAGTGGATAAAGGTAGCAGATATTGATGCAACAGCAGAGTATCAGCAGACAGAAGGCTCTCGACTCCATGATTGTCTGGTTTGTGGTGTAAAAATCATTTGAATTGCATCTTTTATAGTAAGGATGCAGGATACCAGGGCGTGTGATCTTCATTGAACCAGTTTAGGCAGTCTTGTTTATGATAAAATGAATGAATGACTTTTCTTTTGTCTAACATACAAACAATCCATCAACAGAATCTCTATTTTAGATAGATAGAAAATGAAACTATTTGCTGCTCAAAAATATTTTGCTTGAAAACACTGGTGATCATTATACCTCCACCCACAGTAGAACTTGTAAATAATATTCCCATATTTATCTTATTTAAATGAAAGTATTACTTACATTTCAAAGTCAAAACTCTGTATTTGACTAAATTACCCTATAAAGTAATAAATAATAGTCAGAGAAACTACACTTATAAAAAGGTTCTTTATTGGCATTTATGGTTCCATGATGAACCTTTAGTATCCAATGAGGCTTTCCATTTCTCAAAAGGTTCTTTATAGTTGAAAAAAAAAAGATTAAGGGCATTGCTGTGAAAACACCCTTTTTGAACCAATATTTTCTGCTTCAGATTAAAGTACAGAAGGGTGGGCACCAGAGCTCACCAAGTGAGGGGGCACGAGTAAAATTAGTCCAATGGTTTGACGAGACGTCAGAGGCGGGTGACGTCACGTCACCAACCAGGAAACTATAAAGCCTGCCCAAACAGTGTAACGCTAGCTTCTGTGTCTTCAGCAAGCGCTCTATGTGAATCGTGTGTCTTATTAGGTGTTGTCTGTCTTCCATATATATATATATATATATATTGTTAAATTGTTATATTTATTGTTCAGAGGAAAACCCCTTGAGATGTGACATCTCGTTTTCGAGGGGACCTCAAGAAAAACATACTTCACATACATACATACATACTAACAAAACAAAGACAAAAGCTCTCCATCACACCAAAACCACCCATATCTTCCCCAATCCAACCATTAGATATTAGGCAATAAACAGTTAAGGTCATTCATATAGACAATTGAGAATAAAAATAAATAAAATAAAATAAAAATAAGAGAGAATAAAAAACAAAAAAAACATTAAAAAAACACACATATATATATATATATATATATATATAGAGTATATATATAGAGTATATATATATATCAAGCATGAAGAAAACAGTTGCAGCTTGTATGCAAATAATTAAGAAGAGACATCTTAAACTGGTGAATATATATATATATAATGTATATATATTAGTGCTGGGCAACGATTACAATTTTAATCGCGATTAATCGCATGAATTTATTGCGATTAATCGCATTGTTACGCGCAAGAGTGAATAATGAATTCTAAGGTAGTGTATTGCGCACTTTTGATTTAAATGTACTGCTATATACACAAAAGTGCAATAACATGTGGTTTGCAAAAACTTTAAACAAATAAGGTGCTTTATACCAGCAGTATTCCCTTTACACAGCAATAAAATATTTATTGTAAATCTCAACTTAAACATTAATGTAATCAAATCAAATATTAAAACAAAGCTATGCCACTGCCAGGGCATTACCTTTTATCTAGCTTATTAAAACGAGTCCAGTTTTCTTGTTTTTTTTTTCTCAACAGGTATCTTTTATCAGGGAGCAGCAGAAACAGTCTATGTAGTCAGACTTAGAGGTCATGACCACTTCTACAGATATAAGTCGACCAACGTTACTTCTCTGATAGTAGCTTAGGTTTGGTCATGACATGGTTTCCCACATACACTAGATTACATTAAACAGATGTAAAGCCCAATTTATACTTCTGCGTCGAACTCACGCTACGTACCTGCTGTGTGTAGCGCGCGTACCCTGATGTGCACCTCTCCAAAAATGTAACAATGCGTCAATTCTATGCGTACCGCAAGCGCTGTGATTGCTAGAACCGCTCCCTGCGTTTCACATGCATGTTCCCTCTGCATGTGTAATTGCGCGTCAAGGGGGACAATGACGCAGAAGTATAAATAAAAACCAACGCGTAGTCTATAGCGTAGAGGCTCCGGCGTAGGTCCGACGCAGAATTATAAATCAGCCTATAGTGAGGTGAAGTGGTCGAGCACAGGTGCAACGACAAGCGGATGCGTTCCTGTGAAACTGTTGCGGTCATGCTCGCCTCGCGCAGCACAAATCATTGGAAGAGAGACTGATCCTCGGCTCGCTGTTTGTGAGTTTCCACTATCTAAATAGTTATCAGGACGTCATCAACAGAAGGGAATTCACATGGCAGAGCATCTCCGCTAAACTAAACGCAGGCCTATCAGGTAAAGTTATGTATATGTATTTTAATTTAAGTTAAAAAGGCTACAGCTGCGTAGCGCACAGAAGCCGTTGCAATGTTTACTATCCAAAGAGCGCCTGTCATTCACTCGCGGAGCACTGTCACCCTTTCTGTTCACCTGAGAGAACCTGCCAAAGCCTCTCCACTGCTTGTTTGGGTGGGTTATTTGCTGGCTGACCAACATACCATCCCTCCTGTGATCCATGGTTTGACTGTAGCCCTATGTGTATTCAGAGCCAGTGAGCAAAGGACTTTCGAAATAATAAAAAAAAAAAACTGCGTTAACGTGCGATAAAAAAATTGTCGGCATTAATTAATAAATGCGTTAACGCGATAATAACGCGTTAACTTGCCCAGCCCTAATATATATATATGTATATATTACACTCACCTAAAGGATTATTAGGAACACCATACTAATAATGTGTTTGACCCCCTTTCGCCTTCAGAACTGCCTTAATTCTACGTGGCATTGATTCAACAAGGTGCTGAAAGCATTCTTTAGAAATGTTGGCCCATATTGATAGGATAGCATCTTGCAGTTGATGGAGATTTGTGGGATGCACATCCAGGGCACGAAGCTCCCGTTCCACCACATCCCAAAGATGCTCTATTGGGTTGAGATCTGGTGACTGTGGGGGCCATTTTAGTACAGTGAACTCATTGTCATGTTCAAGAAACCAATTTGAAATGATTCGAGCTTTGTGACATGGTGCATTATCCTGCTGGAAGTAGCCATCAGAGGATGGGTACATGGTGGCCATAAAGGGATGGACATGGACAGAAACATGCTCAGGTAGGCCGTGGCATTTAAACGATGCCCAATTGGCACTAAGGGGCCTAAAGTGTGCCAAGAAAACATCCCCCATACCATTACACCACCACCACCATCCTGCACAGTGGTAACAAGGCATGATGGATCCATGTTCTCATTCTGTTTACGCCAAATTCTGACTCTGCTATCTGAATGTCTCAACAGAAATCGAGACTCATCAGACCATGCAACATTTTTCCAGTCTTCAACTGTCCAATTTTGGTGAGCTCTTGCAAATTGTAGCCTCTTTTTCCTATTTGTAGTGGAGATGAGTGGTACCCGGTGGGGTCTTCTGCTGTTGTAGCCCATCCGCCTCAAGGTTGTGCGTGTTGTGGCTTCACAAATGCTTTGCTGCATACCTCGGTTGTAACGAGTGGTTATTTCAGTTAAAGTTGCTCTTTTATCAGCTTGAATCAGTCGGCCCATTCTCCTCTGACCTCTAGCATCAACAAGGCATTTTTGCCCACAGGACTGCCGCATACTGGATGTTTTTCCCTTTTCACACCATTCTTTGTAAACCCTAGAAATGGTTGTGCGTGAAAATCCCAGTAACTGAGCAGATTGTGAAATACTCAGACCGGCCCATCTGGCACCAACAACCATGCCACGCTCAAAATTGCTTAAATCACCTTTCTTTCCCATTCTGGCATTCAGTTTGGAGTTCAGGAGATTGTCTTGACCAGGACCACACCCCTAAATGCATTGAAGCAACTGCCATTTAATTGGTTGATTAGACAATTGCATTAATGAGAAATTGAACCTAATATTGATTATTACCAATGATTATTGTTCCTAATAATCCTTTAGGTGAGTGTATATATATATGTATATCATGGCGAGCAAACAACAGTTTAAATTGTGTGTGCACCCCTGCCCACGTTACATTACGGGTGCGGACACACAATTTGATGTGTTGTTTGTTTGGGAGTGGAACATGCACAGGCAGTGCTCGAGGGTGCTGGCTGTGCAGACTGTGAACCGCTTCCTTTAAGGATGCTCCGCTCCCGTTTGGCTGTCTTCGAGGAGTCTGCTCAGGCTCGCGTTCCTCACAGTTCGGGTCCCTCTGTTGCCGAGGCACAGCAGCGATCTAGATCGCGGGGAACGCAAATGCATCTGTCAGATGGGTTTGAGATGGGCCCAGCCTTGTCTCAAGCCTTACCTGACAAGTGCCTTTTTCTGGTGTCAGGAAGCACGTATTGTGGCTGCAGCATGCCTTCACACTATGGGTGTGCTGCTAGCCTACCAGGCAGAGATGTTAGGAGACCTAAATGAGGATGGGGGAATTGGCCATGACGCAGTGGGTTGAAAACCCTGTTTGAGGGTTGAAAAACACCAGAGACCAGCCTAGAGACACGTTCCCTTAGTAGAATTTCTGGCAGCGTGGAAGCTACTACCAGATATATATCAATAGGTCCTGCGTAAAATCGAGAAGGGTTATACTATCCAGTTCTGGTCTCACCTGCCCAGGTTTATGGGTGTCCTGCCCACAGTGGTGGGTCCCGAGCAGGCTCTATAACAGGAGGTAAAAACTCTGTTGGCGTAAGAGGCCATAGAATGTGTACCTCTTCCCGACAGAGACACCGGTTTCTATAGCCTATATTTTATCGTTCCAAAGAAGGATGGGGGGTTGCGTCCCATTTTGGATCTGCGCCTTCTGAATCAGTCTGTCATGGAGCTCAAATTAAAAATGCTAACATTGAGACAGATCATACCACAGATCAGATCCGGGGACTGGTTTGTTACAATACATCTCAAGGACGCATACTTCCACATATCCATCCTTCCACAACACAGGAAGTTCCTTAGGTTCGCTTTTGAGGGCAAAGCTTACCAGTATCGGGTTCTTCCATTCTGTCTAGCTTTATCACCCCGCACTTTCACCAAATGCTTAGATGCAGCA